AATATATATATGTATATATTTAATGTATATATTTATTTAAAACGCTTGCATACATGTGCGTGAATTACAGCGGAGTAAGAACAGTTTGTTACAATACTTATAGGGAATGAAAAAGCTTCACAGCTATCGGAGTTCAAATAGAGACGTGCGCACACACTGAGTGGGGTTCCAATCCCACCTATTAGACTGCAAATGCCCAGAGTAGACGTTCGACCGCTCTCGAATTCGGCGACCAATCTCCCCTTGTTTTGGCGGTGGAACTAGCGTGTCTCCGCAGAAAGGGTACTGGGATTTTGGTCCTCGTCGGCTCGGGGTTGCACTCGGTGGGGACTCGAGGTGTGTCTGTGGGGTATCTGAAAATCAGTTTGGTATTAATAAACGCCTGTTGGCGTGTTAGCGGACAGCTTCGGGTCTCTGGTCATCTCTGGAACGGCTCTGGGACGGCGCTTCGAAAGGTCGGCGAAATTACATCTTTGCCGGCCCCTGGTGGCGGATCCATAGAAAATTCTGCCCTTTTGGAGGCTGATTCGTCCGAATTGAGTGGAGGCGGTTCGAATGAGCCCGCTCCGAAGGTTGAGGGTCGCCGGGAACCATTAGTGGGTGGTGGCGCCTCGAAAATTAGAAAGATTAGCTAAATTCCACTTTATCGGCTCTAGCATCCGATCCTCTGGAATTATCTTCGGTTTCGACTTAGTTTCTGTCGAATTAGGTCGCGGCGGTCCTAACGAGTCTATCCAGAACGTCGTAGGTCGCCGGGAACGATTGAACAGCTGTAGCGGCTCAAAATATAGAAAGATGAGTAAATCTTTGATTTATCGGCTCTGACTGCCGATTCTTTAGAAACGCGTCTTATTTCGACTGGGTTTCTGGTACTTGGACTGCGACGATCCTTACGAGCCTATCCAGAACGTCGTAGGTCGTCGGGAATGGAAACATGCGTAAAATTCCAACTTTCCGTTTTTTCGCGTGTCCGTTTTCATGGTAGGACCTAGGGGTTTCCTATGTAGGTCTAGCATGCCTTATCTCGTGCTTGGCTGTCGCAGAGACGTATAAATGATCATTTCCAGCCAGGTTGGAAAGATTGGTGAATTTCGAAAACGCTCGAAAAACTTGTATTACGACACTGGCTTGCTTGCTAGCTTGCTTGCTTGTTGGCTCGCTTGCTGGCTTGCTTGCTGGCTTGCTTGATTTTTTGCTTGCTTGCTTGCTGGCTTGCTTGCTTGTTAGCTTGCTTGCTTGCTGGCTGGCTTGCTTGCCTGCTTGCTTGCCTGCTTGCTTGCTGGCTTGCTTGCTGGCTTGCTTGCTTGCTTGCTTGCTGGTTTGCTCGCTTGCTTGCTTGATGATGATGATGATGAAGATCCTTGTAGGGGGCTATTAAAAAGACACAACAAATTTCCACTACCTTGTCTTTTTATTTTTGAAACATTATTGTATATTAGGGAAAATCTATAAAACTTTACAATGTATTCTGATCTACATGGTTATAACACACGACATGCAAGCGATTTGGTGGCTCCATATTCTCGTATACGCCTGTCGCAAAAGAACAAGGTAGACACAAACTTATACAATAAATTCGTCTCCATTCATGGAAATGCAGTCATTGCTAACTTGTCTCCCTCAAAATTCTACAAATTTGCGAAGTCGTTTTTGTTAAATTATTGCTTTTATAGCATTGATGAATTTATGTCTTTTATTTATTAGGGCTATCAGTTGTATTTTAATCTGTTGTATTTCTGTCGGTATTTTAAATGTATATTAATGTACAATTTATTTGTGACTTCAAATGTACTGTTGTATATAAAGTGGTCAATAAACAAAACTTACTTACTTACTTGCATGCTTGCTGGCTTGCTTGCTTGCTTGCTTGGTGGCTTGCTTGCTTGCTGGCTTGCTGGCTTGCTTGCTGGCTTGATTGATGGCTGGCTGGCTTGCTTGCTCGCTTGCTTGCTTGCTGGCTTGCTTGCTGAACTGCTTGCTTGCTTGCTGGCTTGCTTGCTTGCTTACTTACTTTCTTACGCTTGCTGGCTTGCTTGCTTGCTGGCTGGCCTGCTTGCTGGCTGGCTTGCTTGCAGGCTTGCTTGCTCGCTTGCTTGCTTGCTTGCTGGCCTGCTTGCTTGCTGGTTTGCTCGCTTGCTTGCTTGCTGGCTTGCTTGCTTATTTGCTTACTTGCTGGATTGCTTGATTGCTTGGTTGCTGGCTTGCATGGTTGCTTGCTTGCTGGCTTGCTTGCTTGCTAGCGTACTNATTTGGTGGCTCCATTTTCTCGTATACGCCTATCGCAAAAGAACAAGGTAGACATAAACTTATACAATAAATTCGTCTCCATTCATGGAAATGCAGTAATTGCTAACATGTCTTCCTCAAAATTCTACAAATTTGCGAAGTCGTTTTTGTTAAATTATTGTTTTTATAGCATTGATGAATTTATGTCTTTTATTTATTAGGCCTAGCAGTTGTATTTTAATCTGTTGTATTTCTGTCGGTATTTTAAATGTATATCAATGTACAAGTTTATTTGTGACTTCAAATGTACTGTTGTATATAAAGTGGTCAATAAACAAAACTTACTTACTTACTTACTTACGTACTTACTTACTTGCTTGCTTGCTAGCTTGCTGGCTTGATTGCTTGCTGGCTGGCTTGCTTGCTTGCTGGCTTGCTTGTTTGCTTACTTACTTACTTTCTTACTTGCTTGCTGGCTGGCTAGATTGCTTGCTGGCTTGCTTGCCTGCTTGCTTGCTGGCTTGCATGTTTGCTTGCTGGCTTGAATGCTGGCCTGCTTGCTTGCTGGCTCGCTGGCTCGCTTGCTGGCTTGCTTACTTGCTTGCTTGCCGGGTTGCTTGCTTGCTTGCTGTCTTGCTTGCTTACTCACTTAATTTTTGCTTACTTGCTTGCTGGCTTGCTTGCTAGCTTGCTTGCTTGTTGGCTCGCTTGCTGGCTTGCTTGCTTGCTGGCTTGCTTGCTTGCTTTTCTGCTTGCTTGCTTGCTTGCTGGCTTGCTGGCTTGCTTGCTTGTTAGCTTGCTTGCTTGCTGGCTGGCTTGCTTGCCTGCTTGCTTGCCTGCTTGCTTGCTGGCTTGCTTGCTGGCTTGCTTGCTTGCTTGCTTGCTTGCTTACTT